AAAAAGCAATCCAGCCTGTCTAGCATGAGTGCCTCAAGTTTCAAAATAGTCTCTTCTGGAACACTGTTGAAACTTTCATCTCTGAAGCTTCGTCAGGCAGCTTTGAGTTCACAGCAGAGAAGACGGTTCCTTGCTAAAGTTCTCCAACAACATTGGCTTATTTAGAGCGTATACCAGAAGCAACAGGCTACCAGAGGGAGGTCACTGGGCTCCATGGAATAGCCCGATCACAAGGGCTCTGCTTATCCTCTCCTGACAGGTGTTAAGCACTTAGTGTGGCTGGGTGAAGCAAGCCAGGTACACGGGAAGGCAGAAGTGTGGTGAGCCAGGTTTACTTGATGTTTAAAAGGAAGAAACCCTTTTTTATTTCTTACCTTGGAAAACATGGAGTTAAGCTGCTTCCCAGAGCCATAGTAACCCCCCTGGGAGAGAAACAGCTTTACTTGTTCTTTCACCTGCTCTTCATCCAAGTGCCAACAGTTCTCGTCATCGATGCTGGCCCCCGCTGTGGGGTCAGGGGCTCCTGTGAGGAACAGGAAAGGTGTAATGAATGCTCTGGATTCCCATGTCACTCATCCTACGTGCAACTTTGTGAGCATACAGATGCAGACAGTCAGTGCTTTAGCAACTGTGTGGGACTTGAGAAATGTAAAATGCATGCTAGTTTTAGGCTCACAGAAGCCACAGTCATAGCCTCCTAATGTCTATGACTACTGAAAAGCCTAGAATGGAATACACATGTGCTGTGCAGTGGTGATGCCAGCCTGATCTACAGAGTGAGTTCTAGGATAGCCAGGACTACACAGAGAAACCCTGTTTTGAAAAAAACAAAAAAAGAAAAAAGAAAAGTAATCAAGGAAGAAAAAAAAAAAAAAAGGAAACACACATATACGTGTGGCCTCTGTCCTTTACTTCATAGCATACAACTATTTTTAAAAAAGATTTTCATTTTATGTATATGAGTGTTTTGTCTGCATGTATTTTGTGTACCACATGTGTGTAGTGCCTGCAGAGGCCAGACGAGGGCACCAGATTCTCTGGGACTAGTTACAATTGTTTGTTAGCTGCCATGGGAGTGCTGGGAAATAAATCAGGTTCTCTGTAAGAGCGACAAGTACTCTTTTCTGCTGAGCCATGCCATACAACTTTAAAATCCTTGGAATTTTCAAAGTAGTGCCTTTCTGTGTGCTAATGAGTTGCCGATGACAGTCAAGACAAGCTAGACAGCTTCAGGATTGGCTCTGCTCACCTAGGCAGAGTTGAGTTATTTAGTCCCATGTGTCAACCTCTAACAAGGAGAAATAGAGTCTTGGAGGTTAAGTTGCTCACCAACGGCCAGTGATTTAAACAGCCATATATATGTAATGACACTTCCACAAAACAAAACAACAGAAAACTACAGCATAGAATTTGCAGAGCTTCCAAATAGTAGGACATGGGGAGGGGTCTCAAAAGCAGCACACCTGGAGAAAGTACAGAAGCACAGCCTCTGGTAAGACATGCTTTACCCTGTATCAGCTGCACCTTCAGTAATATATCATGACCCTGCAATTTTAAGCAAAATGTTTCCCTGATTCTGTGACCTGCCCCAGCAAATTAACTCAACATCCAGAGAAGGGTGTAGGAACCTGGGTTTATGCTCAGTCAGTCTGATACCTAGCTAAATGCTAAAACAACCTGGGGCATGTGACTGGCATCTGAAGTATGGCAGGAATAACAGACCCAGAGACGGAGCCTTCAATATGTGGACCTTACACCACCTCTGGGTAGTTAGTATCAGAAATGAATTATATTAGAGGACACGCTGGTGTCTGCTGTGGAAAAAGCTGGTTGGTGTGCAGAGAAAAAAAAAAAAAATCCACCAATAGTGGTGGTCACAAAGGTGTTCTGTGCTGTATTCTGAGGATATGGTAGGGGAAACTCAGTTTATTTCTCCTCTGTGTCTTCAAAACACAGGAGGAAAAATCTTAACATTTCCTCTCTAGGAAAGTGATATTTCTTACAAGAGGCTATGCTTTCATTCTTTCTCCAGGTATTCTGCTCTCAAGAACCCTCACCATGTCCTAATATTTGGAAGCTCTGCAAATTCTATGCTATATTTATAACAAAGAAAAAGAAAGAAAAGAAAGGAAAAGAGACCAAGTCAACATTTAGGTAAGATACAATAGAAAATCGGTGTGATTTTTAAGACTATACAGTCATCTGAAAAAAAAGCCAACAGGTCCCACAGAGAGAGGGAAGGATGGAGGTGTGTGTGTGTGTGTGTGTGTGTGTGTGTGTGTGTGTGTGTGTGTGTGTGTGTGCGTGTGTGTGTCTGTGTGTCTGTGTGTGCAGTCTTCCTATGTCAGTAAGTCTGGCTTCAATTCCATGATGTAGACAAGGTTGCTTTGAACTCTGGATCCTCCTTCCTTGGCTTCCCAAATACTGAAATTACAGGTGTGTATCATCATGCCAGAATCATAGAATATTTTATAACACAGTTTAATTTGTTTTTAAAGAAAGATTTATTTATATATGTAGATAAGCATATTATCTACATGTATGTCTACATATCAGAAGAAGGCAACAGGTCCCATGGAATTACAATTATAGATGGCTATGAGTTGTCATGTGGGTTCTGGGAATTAAACCAGGTCCTTTGGAAGTGCAGACAGTACTCAACCACTGAGCCATCTTTCCAACCCCAACAGTTTTATTTATTAAACAAACTTTTAGCCAGATGCAGTGACACATGCCTCTAATCCCAGCAACTTCTGGGACCAGGGAAGTTCAAGACTTCTGGCTAGCTTGAGTAACATAGTAAGATCTTACTTTAAAAACAAAACGAAAGCTGGGCAGTGGTGGCACATGCCTTTAATCCCACCCAGCACTAGGGAAGCAGAGGCAGGCGGATCTCTGTGAGTTTGTGGCTAGCCTGGTCTACTGAGCTAGTTCCAGGGCAGGCCCCAAAGATACAGAGAAACCTTGTCTTGAAAATCCAAAAACCAAGCCAAACCAAAACAACAAAAACAAAATAAAACAAAACAAAGTAAGCCAATAATCAATATTTACCGAGTGCCTAATATGCAGCATAATTAGTTCAAATACTGAATATTTAGTGATAAACACAGCTGATACAGTCCCTGTTATCTTGGAGGCTTTGGACTGGTTGTAGAGAATGGGAATAAACAAATATGCATATTTTTTCTGTTATGCCTTGTACATACTATCAAGAACTACTTCCCAAGCTCTTCACACACACACACTTTCATGTGGAAAGAGAGGCCACAGTAGGCTTAAAAAAATGACTGTGGAGGAGTGAATGTGAGTATGCCTGACACAAAGTGAGGGGGAAATACTGAGTGTTTTTTTTTTGTTCTAAGACAGCATGAAATCATAAACTACACTGTAATTAAATATAATTGTAATCAGAAAAGAGGACATTCTCTCAAGGAAATATCATGTTAAAATGTAGGCAATAGCTAGTTTGTGCAATGTTTGGTAGGCCAAAGAAATGTGGACTTTTCCCTAATAATAATAAGAAACCAACAAAGGATTTTAAATAAGAAACAGATCTGGGCTATAGTTGTGCAGGTCTTTAACCCCAGCACTTGGGAGGCAGAAGCAGGCAGATCTCTCTGAGATAAAATGAAAAAGGTATCTTTTATAACTAATTATTAATCAGGCCACAGCTGAGTGGTAAAATTAGTTAAATAAGAACTAGCACACCATCTCTAATATAAAAATCCTCTGGTGGTCTACTATTATTACTGAAGCATTTCGGGAAGTGGTTTTTTCTCATGAGGCTATATAATGACACATGTCCTAAAGGAGCTTCTAAGTCTGAGGGACAATTTTCTTTTCATCCTTCTTCCTCTATCTGTCCCTGTGTATCTCTGTCTCTGTCTCTCTTCCTTGAGTTGGGGCTCATGTAGCTAAAGTTGGCTTTGAACTTGCTGTGAAGTTAGGACAACCTTGAGTTCTTGAACCTTTTGGCTTTCACCTCCCAAACACTGGGATCGCAGGTGTGGCCACTGTTCCTGGTCCTTTTGTTCTTAAACATCTTCTTGAATTACAAAAGTAGTACAAACTTACTATAGAAATAATACTAGAACATAAAAAATAAAGAAACCTGTAATTCTATCAGTTATAGATTACCATTGTTAATATTACAGTGACTTTCTTAGTCTATTGTTCTGTAGACACAGGCACATGTTTAAGTGTGTGGACACTCAATTTTTTTTTGTTTTTTATGTATGAGTGCTCCACCTGCATGTACACCAGCACGCCACAAGAGGGCTTCAGATCTCACTGTAGATGGCTGTGAGCCACCATGTGGTTGCAGGGAAATGAACTCAGGACCTCTGGAAGAGCAGCTAGTGCTCTTAACTGCTGAGTCATCTCTTCAGCCCAAGTTTTTTTTTTCCCCTGAAATTAATTAAAATCTATTTTAAAAAATTAACTAAATTTTATTTTTATTTTAGCTCTAGGGACTGGACTCAAGTCCTTAGTACATGTCAGGCCAGTGCTCTATCACTGACCTATATCCCCAGATCTTACATATTTATTACAATATAAATTATGAAAATAGTACAATTTAAAGTAAAGATTGATGAACTATTACACAGCAATTAAAACTGTGTAACTACCAACCAAGTCAAGAAGTAGGATACTACTACTACCTCAGGCCAAACATCTATGGGATAGAAATTAATTGCTTTAAGACAGTTTAATCCCAGTACCCGGGAGGCAGAGACAGGAGGATCTCTGAGTTTGAGGCCAGCCTGATCTATAGAGGGAGTTCCAGGACAGGTTCCAAAGCTACAAAGAGAAACTGTCTCAAAAAACTGAAGGAAAAAAAAAAAAAAAAAAAAAAAGAAGAAGAAATTAAGAGTTAATTAGTTGTTTGGACATAATGAATTGATTAAGGTTGAATTATTAATATTGGAGAAAAAAATCCAACATCTTAAAAATACAATAAAGCAAATAAAGTAGTCAGAAAAGGGTTGTTGTTGTTTTAAGCAGGTGCTGGGACCAACTATCACCAGCTACCCAGGAACAAAAAAACTAAGCTTTCGGATATCTCTTGATGTCAATTCCGCACACGGAGCAATCTAGTTGCCCTACATGTGCCACTCACGACAGAAGCCCTTATTTTGGTTTTGTTTTTTCCCAGACAGTGTCTCTCTGTGTTGCCTTGGCTGTCCTGAAACTCACAAACTCAGAGATCCACCTGCCTCTGCCTCCGAGTGCTGGGATTAAAAGCGTGCATCACCATGCCCAGTGAAGAGTGTTGCTTTTAACGGTGGTCGTGAAAGGTAGTTTTGTTTTAATCAAGACAATGTTATAGAATTACCATTCACTTGGTTGATTTCCGAGTTGGAGGACAGAATCTCATCTGCCAGCTTCTGTGCAGTAGGAAGAACGTCGGTGTGGTGTGCTGTGATTAAATACTGAATAAACTTCTGCAGCTGGTCCCTATTCATCTGGAAAAGGGTCTCTGAGATAGGAAGACGCAATTTGACTTGGTCTGGTTTACGGATCCTGTAGAGTGACAGTGCCACCACATGAGCACAGTAGAATATGTCCTTATTCCCACAGCCACAGGTCACAGAAGTGATTTTGCATCGATCAAAACTGATTGCAACTTTGTAAGTTGATGCTGGTTCAGAAGCAGTGGCCGGTTCAGTTACTGTGCCGCTCAGATGGAAGCCTAAAGAAACAAAGGAAAACATTCTGTTTAGAGAGTAGCAGGAAACTTAAGGGCTAGTCAATTCATAATTCAGTGAGCATCTCATATACAGGCAATGAGATGTGTCTGGACAACACCTAGCTCAGGAGTGAAAGTTAAGTACAACCCAGAAAAACAAGACTCTATCTTGGAGTGAATCTCTTGGAATAATGTAAAGACTTTTTTTTTGTTGTTTGTTTGTTTTTGTTTTTTCGAGACAGGGTTTCTCTGTGTAGTTTTGGAGTCTGTCCTAGAACTAGCTCTGTAGACCAAGCTGGCCTCGAACTCACAAAGAGCTACCTGCCTCTGCCTCCTGAGTGCTGGGATTAATGCCCAGAATAAAAACTTTAAAATATACTTTTGTATATTTTTTCTGGAAGGTCAGTTATTTTCATTGCAGTCTCAAATGGATAATAAACTCTTAAAAGTTAAGAATTCTTGAAGTAGAGTTTAAAAGTTAAGAATTCTTGAAGTAGAGTTTAAACTGAAGTGGTGGTTGAGTCCACAAACAACACTAGTACAATCTGGTGACCATATGGAAGCAAGAAAGCTTAAGATACAGAACATGGTGCACAGTGTATTATAAAAGGTATTACATGTCTATTCACAAGGCACACAACATCAGTAACTATTAAATGCAGGAAGAATGGTGTTGGTAGCCTAGGAAGTCTCCAACTTGATACGTAGTCAAGGTTGACCCTGGAATCCTGACCCTTCCACCTCCGCCTCTTGAGTGGTGGGATACAGTGTGTGCCACTACTCCCAGTCTCATGCTTGTGTACCAACAACTTCATTCACTGAGATCTCTTCAGATGGAATACAGTGTTGTCTTAACAAAAGAAGTAACAGAAACAACACCAAACATTGCCCAAGACTCATGGGAAAATCAATTGCTTCACAAAGTTTTCAGGTATCTCTGTGATGATACTTCACTCACATTCTCCTCAACAGCACATGCTGGCAAAACCATATCAAAACAATTCCATGTATATCATTCATAGCATCACCCTATTTACAGAGTACTCCAATGCCCAAGAACTGTAAGCTTTTAAAACAGCCCCTGTTGCTGCCTTTAATCCCAGCCCTTGGGAAGCAGAGGCAGGCGGATCTCCGTGAGTTCGAGGCCAGCCTGGTCTAGAGCTAGTTCCAGGACAGGCTCCAAAGCCACAGAGAAACCCTGTCTTAAAAAAAAAAAAAAAAGGCCATTGTACCAGTTGTAGAACTTGAAGCATGAGAAGCAGTTAAAAAGAACATGCAACATTTACTCCACTAGTGGTTTCAGCAGGCTACAAAGGCTTGTTCTTGATGCAAAGAAATCAGGAATGGTAGACATGTAGAGACTTGGCTTTTGTTGTTGTCCTCCCCCCTTCCACCCCCACCAATTCCTCAAGACAGAGTCCACCCCCCCACACCACTTCCTCAAGACAGAGTTTCACTGTGTAGCGTTGGTTGTAGATCAGGCTGGCCTTGAACTCACAGAGATCCATCTGCCTCTGCCTCCCAAGTGCTGGGATTAAAGATGTGTGCCACCACTGCCCATAGAGACTTGTTTTAAGAGAAAATACATAAATAGACTGCTGCTCCTGTTGTATCTCTATCTCATCATATAAAAGCTTAAAAAAAAATTCTTTTTTTTGGGGGGGAAGCAAAGGCAGGTAGATCTCTTGTGAGTTCAAGGCCAACCTAGTCTACATATTAAGCACTAGGGCAGCCAGGTTACATGGAGAACAAAACAAAACAAGCCTCAAACCAATTAAAAACAAAAAACAAATTCTCAAATACTTCAATATTGAGTGGACCCAAAGAAAGCACCAAATATTTTCAAGGAGTTCCTGTTTAGTTTTATTAGTAGTATATTTTTCCCCAAATCACAAAGTAGGCTTTGACATGAAAAAGAAATGCTTTTTTACTTCAAATTTCTATCTGTGATTTGGACTCCTTCTCTACCCACTTCTATCTTATTTAGAAATATAAGAATAAGACAAGCCTTAGGCTCTTCTCCATTACACATCATGATGGCTCTGGTGTGTTAATTTCTAGGAAAATCACTGGCCTTTTAAAGGTAACTTCATGCTTGGCCTCCTACAAGGATACCATCTTGTAATCATGTTACACTTTCTTTACCTTCAGCATGCACCAAGTATCACTTGGGCAAGAATCAACAGGGCAACAGACCAGGGTGGTGGCACATTCCTGTAAGTGCAGCACTTGGGACTCAGAGCAGGATAATCATGCGTTTGGGGCTAGCTTGGGTTATATAGACACAGCAAGACTTTGTCTCAAAAGCCATTAAAATGTCCTCACAGGGAATGAACAACCAAGGGTTTCGAAGAGGTCCTTGCTAGAATTTGCTGTGCTCAAATATGTACCAAACACTGTTTATTAAAAAACCTATGCATGGCTTGTGACTTACAACACCTGTGGTTCTCCTGGCTATTATAATAAATGACAGTACAAGAAGCAATAGAAATGGTCAGACACTTTCCCTCAATGTTGTTCTAATCATTAAAAAAAAAGCAGGAGAAGCTGGGTGGCAGTGGCTCACGCCTTTAATCCCAGCACTCTAGAGGCAGAGGCAGGTGGACCTCTGAGAGTCTGAGGGCAGCCTGGCCTACAGAGCAAGTTCCAGGAAAGCCAAGTCTACACAGAGAAACCCTGCCTCGAAAAAATTAAAAAAAAAATCTGGAGGGTTCAGGAAACAGATTGAACTCAACCTTGAATTAATATAAAGTACTAAAGACAATTTTTCCTTTTGGATGTATAAATATATACTATAATATAATGGTGAAATTTCTTTTTTCCAAATAAGGAAAATGCTATATTCCCACACTGCTTAGCTCAAATATCACTTTGCATTAAAGCACCTGGTACTTCATGTTGTTAAATGATTAAATGAAAAAGCTTTAGCATTTATGCCTGTGGAGCTTAAAATTCTAGTTTACAAGAAAAATTTTGTCCAGAATGAAATAATAAGGACCTAAGAAATAATAATTTCATTGGTTGCCCAGAACAGTTATGTAATTTACATGATTATAGCCATGAGAACAAAAAACTTAAATGACCATAATTTCTGAAATATCTTGGGCTTTAAAAATTAGGAATAATAGATTTATAGTGGTTCTTGCAAATCAGTGTACTTTACAAATTCAGCCAATTGCTTATAAGCCCCTCTTTCCTCCCAGTGCTAGGGATGGAACCCAGAGCTTTCATGCACTCTGCCACTGAGCTGCATACCCTAATTAGTTCTTTTATTGATCAATATAATTTTTAATCAGCAACACTTTTTGAACATGAACACATGCTGGGCATTTTCTTTTGTTTTTTAATTTTTACATATTGCGTGCGTGCGTGCATGCGTGCGTGTGACTTGGGGTGATGCCACAGTCCTGTGTGATCAGAGGATAACTCTTTGGAGTCAGTTCTCTCCTTCTACTTTTACATGAGCTTTGGGTATTGAACTCAGGTCTTCAGCTTTCATGACATGTGCTACACCTGCTGAGCCACCTTTCTAGCTTACTCTGGCTTTTATTTAAAAAAATCATGTAATTTCCACATTATCTTGTATTTCTGGTACCTAATATAGAGGCAGCATAGAATAGACGTTTATACAAATGTTTATTGAATACAACAGTTTTGAATACTTTAATGACCTCCAATGATCCCAGGATAGTGCAATGTGTGTTGAGATCTCTCTCAGTCTCTTCAGACTTGCTCAGCACACTGCCACACCAAACTTACTGAGTGATTTATGGTGGTTGGTTTTCTCCATTTTTCCCCTTTATGCCTTTATATGTGAGATTCCCTATAACAGCGTGATCTTCTCACCTCCTCCTCATTCCAAATTCTCAACTCACAATGTATTTCACTATAAGAGTCTTCCCTATGTCTTCAGACACTTAGCTAAGTAAGTGCTTCTTCAGGGCTCTCATTTTCATTAGTTTTACCTCTATTTGAGCAAATGACTGTCAGTGTAATTAATAGTTTCATGTTTGTCTTTTCCCTTTAGATTGTGAACTCCCTGTAAACAAGGGTTTGTTTTCATCTTTATATTTTCAGCTGGCATATTGTAAGGGCTTAATAAGTATCTGTCTATAGATGAATAAGTGAACACTAAATTGAATCTTTACATATTCATATCTATAATTCACAGAGGATTAAGTATGTTTATATAATTCCTGATTTTGTGATTAAAATATATCAGCAAATTAAACAATTTTACTGAGATGGTGAACAAAGTAACAAGAATTTATACACAAAGTTAACTGACAGTCTTCCTGTCTCAGTGCAGCTGTTGTTGGAGCTGCAGTGGCTGCAGAGATGACATCTACCAGCCTTTCTGGATGCTCTCCCAAGAGTCATATGTCTGAAGTATGAAGATGCAATTCTTTAGAGCCAGTGATACATCCTGTCCTGAATGTGGCCTGG